TTATCACAGAAACAGAAATGAAGCTATGATGGGGGGCGGGGGGTAGTATGTTGGTTTTTCAAGAGCAATATTGATAGGATTTGCTGATTTGGAAATAGGAACACATCAATGAATATAAGGATTGGAGGAAGGAATAAACAGCAGGGAAGTAAAAGAGACCCAGATGTGAGGGAGAACTGTTTTTGGGGTACCAGAAACTGCAAGGTAGGAGCAGGATTATGAACTGAACATGACAGAAGTTTTACAGCAAAGTGAAGGGCTGCTGAAGCCATCAAAGTCAAGTTTCTCAAGAGTGCTTATCCTTCTGTAAGAGGAGGAGAAACTGAAAAATGACTTTTGAAAAAGGAATGCCACTACAAAATTAAAAATAAAAAACAAACAAAAACCAGAAAGTGTATAGAGTGACCACATACTCAAAAGCTGTGGACCATCTGGCTTAAATTATGTAATTTTGGCTCATTTGACTGGTGTGGAACTTCAGATTGGCCCACATCAATATACTGAATGTGAGGATCACAGACATGTGTCACCACACCCAAACATCTGGTCCATTTAAACTTAAAGATCATTGTCAATATTGGAAAATCAGAAGCAACATAAAAATCCTTATTGGTAACAGGTGGTCAACTTCAGGCCTCCAGGTCTACAGGCAGGACTGGATGTAGCTGAGCAAGTGTGGCTGCCTGTAAATATCTGCAATTGATTACACAGTGCAGTTGATCCCACTAGTGTGATTTACCTGGCCTTTGTAGGTATTTATGTTTGCAATTTCTGGGCTACTGGGACGAGGTCAGCTTTAATGACATTTTAATAAAAGTAAAAATGGTAACAGCAATGAAAATAACAGTTCTTAGTTCCAGGCACATACAACAGTGTGTTCCAAAGGTCTTTTACTCTCTCAAGGACATATTACTATTGCACCATTGTGCTGGCATAAAACTTAGACAGAGGTTGAGAGGCCTGTCCACAATTTCTACGGTCAGCAAGGGGAGGGGGAGGGTGTGAAATAAAAAAAAAAAAAAAAAAAACCAAGCAACATTAAAAGGGAAGTTTCACAAAACTTTTAACTTAATTAAAATGGGAAATTTGGGGTTTTGAGGCCTGTCCACAATTTCTACGGGCAGCAAGGGGGGGGGGGGGGTGTGAAATAAAAAAAAAAAAAAAAAAAACCCAGTCAGACTTAAATGTGCAGTTTCCAGATACTGTTCACTTAATGTAAATGGCAATGTTAGTGGATATGAATGTGTTTTTTCTAAAAGTAATCACCTCTGCTTCAGCCAGACTCCTGCTTTTTTCTGCAGTACCCAGATACACACCCCAGTGTCACTGTGGGTGGCCCTGTCCTCCTTTCTTCTACCTGTGCATAGCTAATCTGAAGCGAACTAGACAGTTTTAATTTCTGACCACAAAGAATGGATTTGGAGGTGAGATAGTGGTAGGAGTGGAAATTGGGAGACTATCTCCATTTTTATTTCCAGTAAATATAAAACACATAGATATGATTAGCTTCAAGAAATGTTCATTGTAATGGGACATGCAGCAAACTCGAGTTTTCAAGGACACTTAGTAAGGAAACATGAGAAAGGAAGGAGCTGTATCAAATCCAAGGATGAGGGGACATATAAGGTCAGAGTAAGGAAAGTCACGACTGTCTGCGGGCTTGATTAGGTTCTGGAGCTCATAAGGTGAAAGTGTACAGTAAGGGGACATTTCATGGAGGGCACCCTGGGCCCCTGGGGCTCTCTCCTATATCATCTTCAATGGATGTTAAAGTTCATGTAACTGAAGAAACAATCTGTGGAATGCTCATGGAACAGAATGAAAGTGCATGAGAAGTCAGAAAGGATACTTCACTAAATTGGAAAACAGAACTGGATTGGGAAAAGGAGAATAAAGATTCTAAAAACTCAGGGTATAAAAGCAACCATGAAATTAGAAGGGATAAAGGTCAAGTCAAAATGAGAACAGCACAGACAAGGTTTTAAAATCCATAATTCAAAGTTCACTATAAAAAATCTTTTTTTTTTTCCTCCTGGCAACACATTGTGAAGTACTACTTTCAAGAAACATGTTGCTTGAGCTAAAAAGTTAAATACAATTAATGCTAATGTAATGAGTACAAGAAAAACAATGGGAATTTTTTTTTGTTTTACCTATATCACATCTAAACTCCAAGAAATGCTTGTATTAGTTACTTTTCTATTGCTGTGACAAAACACTGGTCAAAACCAACTTGGGGAGGAAAGGGTTTAATTTCTTCTCACAAGTTCCACATCACAATCCAACATCAGGGAACTCAGGGCAGAAACTGACACACAGACCATGGAGGAACACTGCTCATTGGCTTGCTCCTTGGCCTATGCTCGGCCTGCTTTATTATACAATTCAGGAAGGGTGGCAGTATCCACAGTGTGTTAGACTCTCCCCACACATCACTAAACAATCAAGAAAAATCCCCAAAGACATGCTCAGATGCCGCTCTGTTAGAGACAAGTACCCAATTGAGGTTCTCTCTTCCCAAGGGTGTCAAGTTGACAACTGAAGCTATCTAGCACAGCACTTTTTCTGTGTGGCTACTTTAAAGTTAAAAGAAGGGGGGAAAAAGAGTTAGGTGCCATTTTTAAGTGAGATGAAAGAAAGCAATGGTAAGAAGCCAGTCAAAGGGCTTGATTTGTCTTCTGGGAAAAGAGAGGGTCGAATGCTCACTTTGGGCCAAGTCATTTTGTTATCATTAGAACTATGAGAAATAGGCACCAGAAGACTCTTAGAAGAACTGCAGTAAGAGAAAAGGGATTAGTTTATAAGGCTCACGGAGCTCCTAGGTGGCAGAGCTCCCAGCAGAATACCACCTTATCAAAGAGCTACTTTGATCTTCATAAGCAACCTCACTCCCATCAGCAATTACTCATTCTCTCTGCTTTTGGTTTTCCTTACTCCATTTACCACATGTAGATCTATGATATGTTGCCTATCGTCTTTCTCTTTCTCCCTCTGTCTAACTATACTTTCTATAAACCTTTGCTTTGTTCACTGTTTCATCTCCAGTATCTAGAACAGACTAGGGCATGTAGTAGTTTGTGGTAATACTATATAACACCACATTATGGCCATGACTGAATAAAAGTAGCATGATTCAGCATCCATTTTGGCCTGAACCTGTTCCTTCCGAGTTCTCTTGAGCTTTGCTCTCAAAAAGGGATTGTTCTTTCACTGAAGCTGTACACCCAGCATAAAATGAAAAGAAAAGAACTGTCTTATCAGTCCTTTCTGATCCCTATGGACCTAGGACAACACACACACAACCACATACAGATGTTATCAATTTAACCTATTATTTACAACACAAATGGGATAATCTTCACTGCTTCCAATAAATATCTGGTTTGCAGTGCTTACTTGATATGTAACACACACACACACACACACACACACACACACACACACACACACACATATATCATGCACTATTCTGGGTCAAGGAAGGGTCATGACCTCTATTTTTAGGTTACCAGAGGAACTTTACACCTAGCAGACTTGTTTATACTATAAACCAGTTAAGATTAACTTTCTGGTTGCAAGGTTGAGTAAAAGTCATTTGTCCAGAGAATGTCCATATTTTAAGTCATTCCCAGAGTAGTTTAACAAGCTTTAGTTAGATTGTAAAAATAATCTACTTCAGTACTTTTTTAAAGTCTTAACTACTCAGTAAAAATGGGTTTCTCAGGCTGGAGAGATGGCTCAGTGGTTAAGAGCACTGGCTGTTCTTACAGAAGACAGTGGTTTGAATCCCAGCACCCATAATGTGGCTAACAACCATCTGTAACTCCAGTTCCAGGGGATATGATGCCCTCTTCTGTCCTCTGCAGGCACTGCATGACACAGGTGCTCATACATACATTCAGGCATAACACTCATATACATAAAAGAAAAATTAAAAAAAAAAGCTTTCTCATTCTTACACTTAATAGTTATGAATTGAAGTTAAAATGAAGTAAAAGAAAATTTTTTAGTTTTCTTTCATCCCTCCTTTTCTTAAACAACTAAAGATCAGTGTCCAGGTAAAAGCAATAAACTATTATTTCCTTTAAGGAGACTATATGTTCCTTAAACTCAGTTTATTCAGCTATACTTCTGTGAGATGCACACTCTTCTGACAATCTCTGCTATCAGTATTTATCCCTTGAAGGAATACTGCAGGGAAATCTCTAAAAAGAATTCCTTTATGGTGTCATAGTTAATTAACATTTTTTTCTGAGGGATGAATTTATTCTCATGGACTTTACTGTACAAGTATTTAGATAATAAACAGAAAAAAATCTGAATAAGAGTATGTTAAAAACTAAACATTAAGATGGCCATCTATTACTTTTAAACTGCACTACCTAAACTGGGCCATATATACTTGAAGGTGAATAGCACAAGAAGCCCATCAAGCTTAGATGCCTGTCAGCCATTCTGAAGTCTCAGGTGACATTTTTATTTCCAAACTAACAAATATGGGCACATACTGGAAAAAGTTACAATGAAGAAAACGCTCATAATTATTTTAAGAAAATGGAAATACTTCAGAGGCTATGCATATATCTCATGACTATGTTTTTTAAATGATTTACTAATCCAATTAAAAATTAACTATACATTAATTCATCATGACACAATTTTAAAGCTGATAAAAAGCATTAATCACACAGAATTTTATAATTTAACATATCCAGCAGCCCCAAGAGAAGAAATGCAACTAAAGAGCAGTAAGTATAATTAAGTGTGCACCACTTTAAAGACCAATATACACTTGGCCCCATCAAAATACCTGAGCAAAAAAAATACATGCTACCTAATTTAAGACATAATATGAAACTTGTAATAAATCCCCTATGTTAAAAACTGAAATGATTTATTTTGCTCTTTAGTTATATAGAAAAAGCCACTAGTAATTATAATAATCTATAATAATTAGAAACATTAAACATTTTCTCAATTCAAAAAAGTAACTGATTTGATGAGTATTTGATCATTTTATTCATAAAATATAAGCAAGACTTATACTCCTTTTCTGTTGAGACTTTTTTCTCAATAGATTTACATGGAGGACCTTGAGATTATCAATTATAAAACATGTTGAAATAAAAACATGTAAAAAATTTACAAATACAAACTGATACTTTACACAAGAGTTTTCTATAAAGTCCATCAATGCAAAAATACTCCTTTGAACTGAACATAAGACATGTTCAGTCTGTTATTTCGTAGAACTATTTTTGTTTTGCTGGAGACTTTTCTCTTCTCCGGTCCTGATTTCTCTGTGACTCTCTGGAATGTTCAGAGTATCTGTTAGGTTTTTCCCATCGTCTCTCAGAACCATTCTGATACCTGTCTTCATCACTTCTATAGCCCGAATGTTTCCTGTTCCTTTCCCTTGACTTTGATCTATCTTTTCTTCTAAACTTTTCACTGTCCTGATTTCGGGTACTTTGCTTCTCGTTTTCAGGAAAAGAATTTCTTCTCTCTCCTCTCTTCCTTGGGTCACCATGCTTGTTTTCCAAACCCACGTGCACGTGTTGGTCTCGGCCATTCCCAACCCTGCTGTAGCTGTCTTCTTCCGAAGGACTACCTCTGTCTGCCTTGTGTCTTGTTAAGGGAGCTCTCCAATTGGCGTCTCTAGAGTTGTGACTTCTATGTCTCTCTGCCCTTGGTTCTCTCTCAGTCCTTGCTTCCTGGTGACTTTGCTCTCTTCTTCCTTCCCGGCTCCTGTCACTTGTTGGTCGGTCCCTAGCTGATTTGTCTACTTTACTTCTAGTTTTCTCTGGTCTCTTCTTCCTTGTGTCTTTTGCTGCATGCAAAAAATGAGATATAATTATCTTTTATTTTAATCTAAATTCATAATTTAACAGTAACATTTACTGACATGCTACATATTACTTATTTATATAAATTGGATATGAAGACAAACTGAACCATCTGAAGACAAATTTCTTTGACAGGGTCTTTGGAATTCATTATGTACACCAGGCTGGTCTTAGGACCTCACAGAGATCTACCTGCTTCTGTCTCCCGAAAGCAGGGATTAAAGGTGTGTGCCACCATGCCCGGCATCTCAAGACAGAATATTTTAAAAGGTGTATAATTTTTAAAAATATCCAATGTGGGCTGAAGAGATGGCTCAGCAGTTAAGAGCACTGGCTGCTCTTGCAGAGGACCCGGATTCAATTCTCAGCACCCACATGGTGGCTAGCAACCATTAGTAACTCCAGTTCCAGGGGATCTGATGTCCCCTTCTGACCTCTATGGGCATTGGACAACATGAGTTCACCTAGTTATGTGCAGGTGATATACTCATATACATAGAACAAAAATAATAAATAAAATGATTAAAAAATATACATTGTAATGACATACAATGTCAATATCATTATAAGCTACCAGTACTGTTTCAGACTCAAGTTCTAATATGATCTTTTAATAAACTACTGCAAATGCAAACAAAAAAATGGTACACTGCCACTTACATACACTAAACGGAACAGAAATTCCAGCCCATGGAGCCTATGTCATGTGAAACATTAGTTAATTCCAGCTCTGGCACACAATCAAAACACAATGATCACTACAGTAACATCACTCCCTAAAAGGAGTGGGACAACTGGGTTTATTTCACAGAATAAGCACCTTATTCTATGAAAGCAGTAGTTTCCTGGTTCCATCAGAGCCACTGGCTGAACTGAGAGGAGACATGGTGTGATACAGTTACAGGGGCTAGGAAAGACATAGAAGTTTGGTTTCTCACAAAAACTTCTAAAAGACCTTGAAGAATTCAATTTTACTGTTGTAATAAAAAATATAGGGAAATAAATCACCACTTTGAGTTAAACTAAGCACGTAAATCAAAAGCACTGAGATGACTAAAATTTCAAATTAACATGACTAAGAAAGGAAAACATGACAGGAAATCACCTATTATTGCCCCAACTCTACCCAAATTTCATCGTACCAACTTCCATTTCTTCTGTTAGGTGACTACCCTCAGCACAAGGTCTGATGCACTGGCTTGCCAGTGAGAACTTCCTTCTTGAGTTCTCAGGCAGCTCCCTAAGCAGAAGCCATCTGGCTCTACACTAAGCCCACGTCTCTCCAGCCCTGCTCTACACTATTGTGAGGGTTCTGCTGATAGCAAACTCTAGCTACCTAACAGCATGCTGTATACTCTCCTCCCCTCTGCAATGCCTGCTTTTCACTTTTCTAATTTGGGGGCAGTTCATATTGCTTTTATGCTATTTGGCATTTTAATAATGAAACAGTTTCCGAGTAAAACTGTATGATAAGGCAAATTAATTTTGAATCAGCAAACTTCCTTACTGCAGCAATGCATGCTGTGTTACCTGTTCTTAAAATGGATCCCATGAAATACACTCTGTAGAATTGAAAGAACTAAATGTTAAATGAACAGTATTTGCATTATTTCAATTCAAGAATAAAATTTCCTGTGAGAAAATGGAATCTTGTTTTAATAATACGATACACAAAAGAGACCCACAATTTTGGTCATCATCTTGTTTGTCAAACACTTGAAATACAACAAGCTAGGGAACAAGAGTATACATACTTCCCTTCCAATCTAAGGCTGTAGGGGGAGGCTGCTATCTATCTGAAATTGGCATTAAAAAGTAGTAATAATTTTAGTTCCCTGGGCTACATGGCCTGCCAGCCTGCTTCCTGGACACCAGGGCTGAGCTCTTGGCTCGTAGCCACCACTGCTTCTTGATCCTTTGCATCCAGATGGACCCAGTTCCTTCTTGAGGTCCCCCGGAGCCCTCTGGACCTGGTCTCACCCTCACCTCCCTCTGCTTCCCTGGGCCTGCACCACCCGCCGGCCTCTCTCCAGGATAAGCAGATTGTGCCCACCATGCTTTGACTCCCCAAGTCTCATTCACCCTCCCAGCTGCCCTCCCCACCCCTCCTCCTAGCCTGGGTCCTGTCCCATTCCTTGTCTTGGTGCCCCAGACACCAGGGGAACCACAACTGCTTCCTGTTCCTTTGCATGCAGACCAACCCAGTTACTTCTTGAGGTCCCCAGGAACCCTCTGGGCCTGGTCCCGCCCTCACCTCCCTCTGCTTCCCTGGGCTGCATGGCCTGCCAGCCTCTTTCCTGGACCCCAGGGCTTAACTCGTGGCCCAAGGCCACCACTGCTTCCTGATCCCTTACATTCAGATGGACCCAGTTCCTTCTTGAGGTCCCCAGGAACCCTCTGGGCCTGGACCAGCCATCAACTCCCTCTGCTTCCCTGGGTTGCACAACCTGCCAGCCTCTTTACAGGATGCCGGGGCTGACCTTTTGGCTTCCTGATCCTTTTCATCCAGACCAACCCAGTTCCTCAGTGCAGTCCCCGGGAGCCCTTGGGGCCTCTTCCCACCTCCATCTCCCTTTGCATCTGAGAGTCACCGACACCAGCTGCCCAAGTCCAGCATCTTTCCTGGGCCCAGCTCCCAGGCCAGTCCAACCCCCAAATTCCTGAGGCCAAAATCTTTCCTGGAGGGAACCAGACCTTAGGAGAAAGCCTGAGAGCATCTGATCCTCATCTGACTTGGGCCTCTGTGGGAACTCCTGAAGACAAAAAGCAATCTGGCGACTCCAATATAAAATCAAAAGAGAAAACGAGAAGCTTAGAAAAATCAGCTTTTCATGCCCCAAAAGTAAACCACAAAGGCACATAAAGTTTACAAAAAGAAGCAGACCTAAGCTTGAAGACTTGAGTCTCACACAAGAATCAGAAACTACAAAAGAAATTCACATGTCAAAATCATAGAGAAAAAATAATAACATGAAAAACCAAAATAAGATATCCTCATCAAATACGAATAGTGCTCTAGAGGAGTACAATGAGAACACCTTAGAGATAAAGCAGGGCATGGAACTCAAAACAACAATTATAAGCATGATAGAAGAATT